TTTTCCTGGGGACACGTGGACCCCGTATCCTGTACTTGACGGGCTGCTCGCTGCCCGGCTCTGCCCTCTGGATTCGTCTTTCCCAGGGCCATTCTCTGCTCCTAGACACCTACAGAGTTTTACCGGGAGCACACTAAGGGACCGGGACTTTTCCTGTGTCCCCAAGGCATAGGGAAGAGCTGCAGTCCCCCGAGGAAGGGGGGCAAGGCAGCACTCAGCTTCCACCCTGCACCCCATACATACGTCCGCCGCCTTCTTCTCTGCCAGCTCCAGCTTCTCCTGGGCGTCTTTCAGGGCCTCAGAGTATTTGTCCAGTTCATCCTCTGTCCCCTTTAGCTTCTTCTGCATGGCAGCTAGCTCATCCTCCAGCTGGAAGGACAGTGGTGTCAGTACAGGTGTTCACCACTCTGAACCCCTGCGGCCCAAGAGAGCCCTGCCTGCCCATCCCAGACTCGGGTCTGCCCCATGGCATCCCTCCTGTCCCTTCCTTGGGGCCAGCTCTGCCCCACAGTGTCCACCCCATCCCTACATCCCACCAGCTGGTAGGGACTGAGCCCTGGACAGCCCTCAGAGTGTCCTTGAGCTGTGGGATAGTGGCAGCTGTCACACTCTCATACCCCAGGCAGAGTCTCTGTTGGATCTGGGCTCAGCATAACCCAGCACAGCCACCCCCCACCACCCCTGGGCTGGGGGCTGAGGGCTGTGGCTGTCTGCCCTACCTGTTTGCTCCGCTCCTCTGCCTGCTTCTGCTCAGCCTCCGCCTGCTCTGCCCGGTCCAGGGCATTCTCCTTGTCCAGCTTCAACATCTGCATCTTCTTCTTGATGGCCTCCATCCTCGGTGGCACACGGGCAGCGGGATGCAGACAGACAATGGGTGGCTAGGGCAGCTGTGTTGCCTGTGCCCCACTGACCGTTTATCAGCTCTGCCCAGCACAGTGGCTTTGCCTTTCTTGGGCTGACCCGCCTCCCCACCTTCCCAAAAAGTCTGTGCTCGGGACCCATTGTGTGTCCTGGGGGCTCCGGGTGGTCACAGCCTTATTTGGGCTCCCGAGGACAGCTGGGGCGTTATAAAAAGCAGCAGCAGGTCTACGAGAAGGGGTCCTGCATTGTTCCAGGTGCCCCCTCCCCCCATGGAACGGGACACCCTGGCTAGTGCCCGAGTGCTTCCTCAGGATGTTGAAATGGGTCCTTGCAGCACTGGCATGAAGTCCTCGCCCCCCATTTGCCTTTCTAGGGTGGCCTAGAATGTTTTGGTAGCCCTGGGCTGACATTTACCCCTGCCCGGGGGCGGCGTAGAAAAGGACAAGATCATCCTGGCACTATTTTGGGAGCAGGGGCTTGGCCGAGAGTGTTTGGCTCTGCAGGGAGCAGCAGGGGAAACTGCACCCAGCCCGGGAGCCTGCTGAGCCCAAGCCCAGCTCTGGCTGAGGTGGTGCTTGGTGCTGAGGTGGAGGATGCTGTTGGCAGCTGGAGGAGCAGATTCCCCAGGCGCGGGGAGGAATTCTCAGGGCAAGTGGCGGCACTTCATCTGCAGCTGAGGGATTTGCAGCCTCCTCGTGCCGGCCCAGAGGTCCCACTGGCCCCATAAATCAGGTTAGGATCTCCCATGGAAGAGACCCACTGCTCCCACCCAGGGACAGATGTTGAGGGCTAAAGGGGTCAGCACCCAGGGATGCAAGGGACAGCTGGTGGCAGCTCTGGGTACCCTGGGCAGGGCACTGGAGGGGACAGTGCCCACCAAGGGCCCTGAGCAGTGGCTGCATCTCCATAAATAACCCCCCCCATGCCAGGGCAGTGGAGGCAGTGCTGGGCACAGGGCCACGGGCCTTTGTATTGTCATCATCCCTGGCGTGAGCGGGGGGACAGGTGGCAAGCGTTGACCCCGCTGCCATCCCAAACCTCCGCCAACCCCCAGGACAGCTCTGGGCTCCCCCTCTCAATCCTGTGGAGATGGGCAGACAGGTTTTATTGCAGCAGTGAGGACTAGCAGAGGGCGCAGGACAGGGTGCAGAGGGTTCCCCTGCCTGAGACACGGCACAGGCAGCATCTGGCCAAGTCAGTGCTGGGCGTCCCTGGCGCTGTAAGAATATGTTTGATATTTAGTTGGTTTTCCAATAAAACAACCTAATATCAAACATATCAGACAGAAGCAGGGGCAGACGGAGTTGGGAGGACCAGGAGCTCAGCTGCCTGTAAGAGAAAAAGAATAAGCTGAGAGCTGGGGTGGGAGTGGTATCCAGGTATAACTCCCGAGGCACTGCAGTGGCAGCGCCACTTACCTCAGTGCCTGGAGCCTGCTGGGCAGCTGTGCTGGTACTGGGCTGCTTGGGATGCAGTGCTGGAGCAGGAGGCATCCTGTGGCTGGGATGAAGCCGGAGCAGGGCAGTGCAGGCTTGGTCTCCTGGCATGGCATGTCAAGGCACACCGTGACATGCACTGGCATGGAGTAGCATGCCATGGCAGGCAGCGCTGAGGCCAAAGGGACCCCACATCCATCACCATCTTACCGGGGCTGGCTTGGGGGACTCCGCTGTGCTCTGGCTTGGGGGTCGCCTGGCCGCCGTTTATAACTGCGCTCGGCTGCACCGAGCAGAGGGACGTGGCCAGCGACAGCCCTGGCCCTGCACACGTGGCCTCGTTCCCATTAATTACCACCCATTGACGTCCCCCTGCCCCCTCCACAGACCCCCGCGCCCTTGCCGCCCAGCACTGCCGGTCGATGCGGTCGATGGCCCCGCGCCGCCTGCTCCTGCCCCTGGTGACACTCCCTGTCATTAGCAGGGTTGTCAATACTGGGGGCCAGCCCTGGCCTTTGGGCCCTGTGCCACCGAGGGGCTGCACATGACCCTGCCCAAGGACGAGCCCCATTGACACAGGAGAGTTGTGCCTCACATCCCCTTGCTTTGGGGGAGCTGCTGGAACTCACAGGGATATCTCTTCCAAGGAGCAGCTGGAGGGACTGCCTGTCACCCTGCTGCATCCGTGTTGAGGATGTGGCCTCACCCATGCTGGGTGAGAGGCAGGACCCTGACCACACTGAAGGAGCTGCTGGGACCAGGGTGGTGTGTCCAATGACAAGGGCACATGGATAACATGGAGTGATGGAAGCACAACCTTCCTACAACACAGCAGTGCTTTGCTGAAGTGGGATGCACCAGCCTCGGGAATGGCACTGGGGGCTTTGTGAGGACCAATGGGACAGGAGATGGGGCAGCCAGAATCCTGAGTGCCATGGGAAAGACAGGGACACAGCCTGGCCTTGGGGGTCAGGGGCTTCAGCCTCCTGAGGTGACCACACATTGAGGTGGCAGTGGGGACAGCAGGGACACACGTGGCAGCAGCAGTGCCAGAGCCGGGGGCGTGCGCGTGGCGGTGGGTGATGTGATGCAGCCCGACAGCCGAGCTAATGAAGGGCCATGGCGGGGGGTGCTGGCCCAGCAGCCGCCAGCCCTGTCAATAAGCAGAGCCAGAGCAGGCACTGATGGGCCCTGGGGCTGGGAGACACCAAGGTCAGGCACAGGCAGAAGGGATGGGAGGTGGAGGACAGGCCCTCCCAGCTGGGGAGCAGGCAGGGATCCTGGGGTGCCTGGATGGGACAGGGAGCATTGCACCCAGACCAGCCAGGTTCCTCACCCTGCTGCTGCAGGGCTGTGCCACACGGTGCGGAGTGCTGTGGCACAGCATGGCACAGCAGGACTGTGCTGAGACAGGGACCCGGTGTGGAGCACCCAGCCTGGTGAGGCATGCTGGCCGTGCTGCCATCTCCTGGCACAGCCATGGGCAAGATGAAGCATGTAGGATCCAGGACACCCAGGGTTGCAGGCGACATGTCTGGATCCCAGCCACAGGAATTGTGCTGGGCTGTGTCTTCCCACCACTGCTGCCCTGGGCTGTCCCATGCCTCACATGCAGCAGACACAGCCCGTCTTGCTCAACATGTTTTATTCTCAGTCAGGAGCTGGGCGATGCCAGGCCAGTGCCACGCACTGGGCTGAGCACTCAGAGCCGCTCCACATAGAAAGCTTTCTCCTGCTGGCGCAGCTCCTGCTGGTGCTGTAGGTGCTCATCCAGGACGAGCTGGCACAGGGCGTCTCGGCGGATCTGCCAGGCACAGGGACAGTGCTGAACCCCCACATCCCCCTGGCTCATCAGCGCTGGGAGACAATGTTCCTCAGGACAAGGGGGGCACCCACCCCTGGCAGCAGAGGGCTGGGGGACCCCAGCTGTACCCAACCAATGCCCAGCCTCACCGCTGCCTGCTCCCTGCCTGCAAGGTGCAACTCCAACTCCACGCACTTCTTCAGCCGCGACTCCATGATCCACTGCAGCACCCCAAGGGACGATGCCCAGCACTTTGGGTGCTCCCTGGCCCCCTGCCCACCACTATTGAGACACAGGGTGGGCAGGTCAGGGATGCAGAGATGTCCCCCCCAGCCTGCCCTGTGCTAGGGCTCCTCATCAGCACAGGGAATTCAGCCCCCAGGGTGCTCTGCCAGCTCTACCTCCTCAGGAGCTCTGCTAAAGCATTCCCATTCGCCTGGACCTGCAAACAAAGAGCAACGTTCCTGTGGCCCAGGGTTTAACAGTGGAGCCCACTGTCTCCACCTGCTCCCAGAACAGCTTCCATCTTCCCAGCCCCTGCCCTGTCTGACCTCCTCCTGCCGCAGTGAGGAGCTCTGGCTGCTCGGTACTGCCATGGCCAGTGCCACAGGGCCCCTGCAACGGCCCCCTGCAGCACCAGGGTGTTAATGGAATACCTGGGCAGTAACGGCATCCTGGTTACAGTAACAGCCTCCCAGTTACTGTAACGGTGCCATCCTGGTTACCATCACTGTATGCCAGTTACTGTCGTGGCACCTCAGTCACCACAGCAGTAATGACAGCATCCTGGCTACCATCAATGGCATCCTGGTTACTTCGTAGCAGCTTCAGGAGGGACACAGCCTGGGATCGGGGAGGGACGGGGCCCTGCAGTCAGAGGCCAGTGGCACACATCCTACTTGAGCTAAACTGTCATTTTATTAAACAGTAATTAAAAAGTGCCGAGGTCTGTACCCTCCACTCTGTGTCGCCCACGCCACAGTGACGGGGGAGCTGCCGGCGCTGTCCTCAGCCTGACAGAAGGCAGACTCAAGGTGGGGGCCACGAGCTTTCAGCCCCAGGAGCTCGGCAGACGCTGGCATGCGAGGCGCTGGTGAGAGTGGGAGCAAACACCCCCTTGGCAGAACAGATGGGACATTTAACACCGCTTTGTCCACTCGAGACGTCCCCAAATGCCCGGTTGCAGGAGAATGAGTAGAAACCTCAGCCCGAAGCGGTAGCTTAGCCATGGTGCTAAGAACAGGCACCAAACTATGTCTACCCCATCCAGGCGCACAGGCTGGCTGGGCACAAAGGGCTGACAGCAGGAACAATGACGTCATGGGGAAAAGTGTTCACCCTTCGGAAAAAACAGACAAGTGGCTCCAGTGCCCAAGACCCTCACGGACAGGACGGACAAACATCAGCTCCCGCCAGCTGCCGCAGGGAAGGACGGGCGGAGGGGAGCGCTGGCTGGGATCCATGTCTTTATAAATAAGCTCAAGCTCATGAGTTTATTCACAGGGTCCAAGACAATGCAGGACTCAAAGGCTGGAGTGTCATAAGCCTGTGGCAGAGAAGGCCGTGGGGCTGATCCCCATGGGCTCAGCAGCTCCAGAATGGGCTCCTGGCGAGGGCCAAACTCCAGCAGTTGGAATGGAGCCCCTGCCGAGTGATGACCTCCGAAGTGGGGTGAGGGGGAGATCTGAGAGTGCAGCTGGTTCCTCTCAGTGCTGCCTGCACTGCAGCACAGACCCGCCCAGCATACCCACTGCACCAGGCCCCCGCACGCTCACAGGGTGCTCTCCAGTGTGTTGTAGTTGTCCTTGAAACTCTTCAGCTCCAGGAAGTGTTTGGCACGTTTGCTCTTCTGGCTGGAAGGAAGGTAGGTGACCTGGATGGTGGTGGGGTTGGAGACTTCAGGGGACAGCGTGAGGTCTTTCACTGCTGACTGGTGCTGCCGCTGGCTGCTGCCGCCCCGGGCCTTGGTGCTGCGGGCAGAGAAGAGGCACCATCATTGCTGCTGCTGCTCCAGAGCAGCTGCTCAGCCTGTGTATCTGTCTGTCCAACATGAAGCAAATCTGCTCTCACGATGACACCACTCACTGAGGTCTTGGCATCTAAAGCTACTGGCTCTGTGCAAGTCCCTGACTCAAAGTGGTCGGGACAAGCAGCAATGGTGACTGTGACCATGGAACAAAGCCAAAACTGCAGTAACGGATGGGCTGCAAGGAAGGACTGAACCCAGAGGGCCAGATGGGCACAGACAGCCCCTGTCTCAGATGACACCTGTGCCCTAAACCCACGTCTGTTCACACCTTCCCACAGGCTGCTGGGGCCCAGGAACACTAGGCAGCAGCACTTACATGTTTGCCAGTTCATTCAGAGCCTCCTCATACTTCAGATATTCCGTTTTCCCAAAGACCTGGATACAAACAGAAAAGACCATGGAACATCCAGCTGAAGTCAGGGTGTGAGCTCAGTCCCAGCAGCAGGGCAGTGCACAGGAATGCCCCGTGGGGATGGCAGTGCCCCCAGCACTCACCCCAGTGCCATAGCGGGCGCTCTCGTAGCCATCCAGCAAGGTGTCAATCAAGGCTTTGCGGATGCCTTTGAAGGAGGTGCTGGAATTCCGCAGCTCCAGCAAGTAGGCACAGAAGTTCTTCCCTATTAAAGACTTTGGGTACCGAGCCTCTACTTGGAACGGGATTTCTGGAAAAAGGCACAAGTGCTGAAGCACAGGTAAAAATGCTTGTGCTCATCCCTAAGGTCAGGAGCCACTGCCTGCATAAATTTCCATCCATGCCCACTGCCCCAGCACATGGCACGAGCCAACCCTCAGGCCACCAGTGGGAGAAGTGACTGCTACTCCCCAGTGAGCACCTGGAGCCTCCCCACAGGGCTGTTGGCACTCTCATTGAGGGTCCCTCTGCACCCTTCTGCTCCCACTCTTGCCCTGGGCTCCCTTACCTGATGTCCTGATTGCATCCAGTGCCTTCATCCTGTACAGGTAGTTATAGCAGCCTGGTAGAGGGAAAGCACAAACTGAGATCTCTGCAAACCCTAGAGGGAAGTGGGGAAAGGGAAAACAGGAGAAGAGACACCATCCCATGTGACAGGACACCAACAGGAGCAGTGAGGGGCGTGACTGAGCCCCAGGGAACAGTGCAGGACAGGCCTCTGGCACAGTACCTGGTGTCTCCAGCTGCAGGAGCCGGCCGTCGTCCTCTGCCAGCAGCCGTGGCTCATACTTGATGTCCTGCACCCTGGACAGTCGAATGTCAATCTCTTCCTTTAAATCCTGCACAGCAGGAAAAAAAACGTTTACAGACCACTCCTTTGTTTGTGGGACCAAAAGGATAAGAACAGCCCTAGATAAATTGCACCCTCCCCACTGCCTATGAGCACTCTGAGGCAGCAGCTCCTGCACGTCCCTTCAGGCACGGATGGGTGCAGGGAATGGAGAATACCCACCTTGGGTGCGTGCTGTCCCACGGGCACGTGGGGGCCACGGCGGGACTTCATGGCAAAGCGCATGATCTGGCGTTTCACGAAGATGAACAGCAGCACAAAGACCTGCGGAGCACAGCGGGGCGGGGGTCAGGCGTGCGCCGGGGGGGAGGTCTCACAGCCGGCCTGTGCCCACCCCTCCGGCTCCCGCTTGCCAAGGCCCTCCGACCCCGGCGAGCACAGAGCTCCCCGGTCAGCCCACCGGGAGCCCCACGGACACTCAGGTCAGCCCCACACCCTCCCGATCTCCACAGAGGCTGCCACTCACGCCCCCTCCCCGCCCCACCGACCCCAGGAGCCCACGGGCGCTCCAGCCCCATGAGAGCCCCGAGCCCGACTCCGAGGGGCTGCCCACAGACAGTCCGGGACGTGTCTCACGGGAGCCTTCTCGACCCCTCGGGCCCGGGCCCACGGCAGCTCCACGGACGCGCCAGGATCAGCCTCGCGGGGGCTCCACGGACTCGCGTGGTGCGGCCCCGCGGACACTCCAGGCCGCACAGACACGCCAGCCCGCCCCGCCCCGTCCCGCCGGCCCTCACCAGGCTGCCGTAAGCCATGACCAGCACCACGTTGACGCCCGAGAGCCAGTTGCTGCCGGCCGCCGCCATGCCCGGCCCGGCCCGGGGCCGCACAACATGGCGGCCACAAAGCCGCCCTGCGCGCCCGCCACGTGACCAGAGGAGCCCCGCTCACGTGATCCGTACGGGGCCGCCGCAGCGGCCCCGCGTACGTCACGTGCTCGGCGTGGGCAGCCCCGCCCCGCCCGGTCACGTGCCGGGGGCGGGGTCGGGGGAGTTGTCAGTGCGGGCGGACCCAGGTAAAGTTGCGGCGGCGGCGGCGGCGGCTCCGGTACCGCGCGGCCCCCGAACCCGCCCCCGCCTGGGCCGGGCCGTAGCCGGGGGCTGGCGTAGCGCGCGGCCGCCGCAGGTGAGGCGGGCGGGCCGGGTGCGGGTGGGGGGGGTGAAATGGCGGCCGCGGCCATGAGGGCGGAAGCGGCCCGAACTCGCCCTCCTCTCCGTTGCGGGCCCGGCCTGGCGCCGCCGAGGGGGCTCCCGCCCGGCCCCGCCGGCGCCCTCCGCTTCGGTCCGGTTCGTTGCCTCATTGTGAGCCGCGGACTGGGCCGCGGGGTCGGGCGGCTCCGACCTTGCCGCGCTCTCGGGGCCCGCCCGTCCCCGCCGCTGCCGGCGGTAACAATGGGAGCCGTGCTCCCGCCCTGCCGGGCTCCTTGCGGCCCGCCAGGCCCGCCGCTGCCGCCGCTCCTCGGTGGCGCCCCGCGGGCCGTGGCACGGGTGCTTCCGCTGAAATTCCCGGGCAGCAGCGGTTCGGGGGTCCTGCAGGAGCCCCGGCCCACGAGTGCCGGCCTGGCCCGCGTCCCTCCAGCCCGGCCGGGGGGCTCTGCTTGCGCCCTCCGGCCCGGAAGTCTCCCGAGCAAAGCGCTGTCTGTCGATCCCAAGCCGGGGTCTCTGATGGCATATCCGGGAGCGTCTCCCTAAAAGCTGATGCTTTGCATACGTGGAATGATTCGGTTTGCGGCCACCGTGTCTTTGCTCTGGGGAAAACTTCTCGTATTGATAACCCTTTTTTTGGGTCCTCATTTTGCCCCATGTTGCAGGAAAAGCTTTGCCTTCTCTGGCCCTTTACTTTCGGGCTTAGGAGCTTTTTTGCACATGTTAATTAGCTTTGTCTGAATGGAATGAGAATACCATTTTTATGTATTAACACATCAGGAAACAAACTGGGATGTGCCAGGGTGAGCAGCAGCCAGCAGGTCTGGCACCACCATGGGACCTACAGATCCTGGTTCTGAAACTGTAACTTCTCTGACGTTTCTAATAAAATGAACAGTTTGTTACATTTTTGTATCCCCTCATTTTCTGGAGACTCCGCACTTTCCTTGTGTAGTTGAGACTCTCCTCTTGAGGCCTGGTGGGAATGCAGGTCTGAGAAGGAAAGGGGGTAACAGCAAATGTCTCATCTGATGCAGTGAGTTTGGCAGAGGGTGTTGTAACCTCTAACTGTGAGGCTTCTTTGTTTTCCCTGAGCCCTGAGTGCAGAGGTGTGAGCCCTGCTCCAGGTAACGCTAACGCTGCGGTGTGGACTGGCCACCACTCCCTTTGGTGCATGGGTGCAGGTTGGCTCTTTCAAGAGAAGAGGTGAAATGCTTTTGATGAGAACAGTTTTGGTCTGGGAAGCTTTGGTGCAGCTGCAGGGCAGTGCAGGCATTGGGGTTCTGTGGGTCACTGCTGCCACTGAGCTGATCCCAAGTTCCCCCAGTGAGGAATTGGTTCCCAGTAGCCAAGTCCTCTTTCCCCAAGGCTGCTGTGGGGTCTGCATGGGGACACCTCCTTACCTGGCAGCCTCACCAGAGTCAGGCTTTGGCTGAGATTTTTACTGTAGGTGGTTTTCTTAGGGGTTTTTAATGTGTTAAATTACAAATGCTTGTGTTCCTGGTGGCAGTGATGCAGCATGGCAGCTGCTGAGCAATGCCTGGGCTGCACAAGGTTTGGGCTCAGTCTGTTGGACCTGCAGCCCAGGGAATCTGCAGCTTGGGTTTCTGTGGATGTGTGGAATCACTTCCCTCTGGGCCCGTGGTTCTGCTGCCAGGTTGATTTAATACAACAAATTGTGTGTGAAACTTACAACTGGGAAAGCAAAAATAAATCTATACCATGGGAATGGATCCTGCACAGAGGGGATGGCTGGGGATAGAAGGCTTTTTCTGCTGTGCCTTGGCACTTGGTGCTCTTCCCCCGTACCTCTGGGGCTCCTGGTAGCTTGGATTGTTTCCTCATAAGGGACCTTGGCACTGTACAGCTGTAAAACTGTGGTGTTAAGTTGCCACGAGGCATGGGTGGCTGTGAAGGGGTGAATTTGGAGGTTTTGTGGGGAGCTGCAGGAGCAATTGCATGGAAACTTGCCTCCAAAGGCCAGGCACTGGTGGGAGCAGGTGTGGGGGGTGTAGAGGCAATGTTAGGGCCTCCCTGCTCTCAGGAGGGATTTCTCACCCAGCTGAGTACTTGCAAGCTTCAACAGGAGATTCCCCAGCTTCTCCTGCACTGTTTGCTAAAGCTGCTTCTCTGCTCCCTCCTTGGCACACCGTGTGTGTCCCTGTGCTGCCCTGCTCGTGGACAGCAGTGTTCCAGATCAGGTCACTGGTTGTCTTACTAAGCTCCCTGCTTCTGCTCTCTGTGGCTCCTTCCCATGTCCCTCGTGTCTGCCTGGGGCACAGCAGCACGTCCTGCTGCTTTGGGGGAAGGCTTTGCAGTCTTAGTAGTGAAATACAAAAATGTGAATTCTGTGATTATTGAAATTTCAGGGGCTCAGAAGTGAGTGTGAGTCCTGACAAGTGCTGTGGGATGTCTCTCACATCCCTTTTGCCTGAAAGGCCACTAGAGAGGGTAAAACCTCAGTGTTAATCCCTTTCCAACACCCCCTGCCCTGAGGCCCAGTGTGAGGTTAGAAAACTCTGCTTGCTTTGGACACTCAAACTTTTGTTGGGATTTTTTGCCTCCAGCAGTGTTATCTAACAGTGTTACTGGCTGTTATTTCTTGCAGACATCTTATTCACTTTTTTTTAGTATGTTTTTGATCAAGAATACTAGGAAAAATGTTGTTTTTCCAGGGAATAATTTAAATTAGGGAATAATTTAAATAGGCAAAAATAGGCACTTCTGCAAGGGCAGGTTTTTCTTAAAACAAAAATTCCACAGACCTATAGCAGCACTTACTGCTGGAGTGTTTTTGCTTCCCCTGCTCTGCTTTAAAGGTAAGAAAGGAGAAGGGGAAGTAACTGATGTGTCTGAGGCTCTAAGATATTCTGTCCTTCAAGTGATGTTTTTTTGAAGCTTTTTTCAAGCCTTCCTGTTCCATTTGATGGCCACAGCCTCAGCTTGAGTGCATGGCAGATCTGTGTCCACTCACACATGTTCCAACAAGAAGTTGTTCAACTCTTTGCCTCAAGTGCAGGGAATGGCTTCAGACTGAAGGAGGCTCAGTCTAGATTACCTGAGAAAGGTTTTTACCAATGAGGGTGGTGAGGCCCTGGCACAGCTTGCCCAGAGGAGCTCTGGCTGCCCGAACTCTGGAAGTGTTCAAGGCCAGGTTGGATGGGGCTTGGAGCTACCTGGGCTGTTGGAAGGTGTCCCTGCCTGGAGCTGGGTGAGCTTCAAGGTCCCTTCCAACCCACACCAGTCTGTGAGTCGATGATTTTGAGCCTTTGGCTCCTGGTGCCTGATTGCTCCCACCTGGATGCAGCTGATATTCCATCTGGAGCACTCTGCCGTGGTATCCAGAGAGAAACCTCAAGAAGTACAAGTGGCCATTTTGTGTTGGGAGCACGTGGTGATGGCAGCCTGGCCCACTGGGGTTTTGGGGAAGTGGTGGGGAGGGTGGGGACCTGCAGCAGCCATTCTGGCTGTGTTACCCTTTTGATTGTTCGGTCTTGGTGTTGCTTTTTGTTTTTTAGTATCTAACAGTCCGTTCTCTCTTCTCCCCTGCCCCACCACAGAGTTCAACCTTGTAAATACTGTTATTTGTATATACTGTAAATGATGACATCAGTGGGCACTACCCGAGCCCGGGGCAGCTGGGAGCAGACACAGACACAGAGCCAGACGCAGCACAAGCAGCGGCCGCAGGTAAGGGCAGCGTCCAGAGACCCCAGCTGGCTTCCAGGTGGAGACCTGGCTGGTCCAGTGCTAACAGCTGGGCTGGCCTAACGAGCTCCCCATGTGTCACAAGGTGCTGCTGCCAGAGTCAGGTTAATTGGGCAGCTGCTGACACTGGGGTTTCCATGTCTGTCTCCAATTGGGAGCTGCTGCTGAGATTCGGTTTTATTTCCATTTGTCCATTCCTCACACACTTTAATGAATGTAAGTGGCTGAGAAGCCATCTGCAGCGGGTCTTGGTGGTGTGGTGGTGGTAAGGTCTGCCCCAAAACAGATGTGGTTTGGGTGGCTGCTGCTCATCTGGTGCCATGAGGCTATTCAACAGTATATCCCTTTCTTCCAGACTCCTCTTCTTGCTTCTTTTTCATCTCACTTTCTCCCTGGAGTTTTTCTTCTGTGACCCTTGTTTGTGTCTCGTCTTTGCCATACTGATTCCTTTCCAGGGTTTCCAGAGAACTTGGGGCAGCAGAATGGCCTTTGGAGGATGGTTTGGAAATGCACCACTCTGACAATGTGCTCTGTCTCTCCCTGATTTCTTTAGGCTACTGCAGAACAGATTCGACTTGCACAGATGATTTCGGACCACAACGATGCTGACTTTGAGGAGAAGGTGAAACAAGTGAGTGTGGAAAATGAAGGTGAACTCTGACAGGAAGCTGAGATCAGTCTTGGGAGTACAGTGAATGCTGGGAGGGTGGGAGGGACACACCTGGCTGCTACCTGAATTTCCTTGGACTGCCTTCATAAAGTTGTATCACAGCATGGTTTGGGTCAGTAGGGATGTTAAAGGGTATCCAGTTCCACCTCTGTGCTATGGTGATATCTTCCACTATCCCAAGTAGTTCCAGCAGTGCCAGAGCCTCACCACCCTCACAGGGAAGAATTTCTTCTCAATAGCCTGTATAACCCTGCCCTTTGGCAATGGAAAATCATTCCCCTGTCCTGTCATTCCAGGCCCCTGTCCAAAGTCCCTTTCTGGCTCCTTTGGAGCCCCTTTAGGCCCTGGAGGGGGGCTCTGAGGTCTCCCT